ATCTATCTATTTATATAGATAGAAATAGAAATAGCTACTACTAGATAAACATCATATGTCTAAATATCTAAATATTCACATACTAGCAAGCTCGATAACTTATAAGTGAGTAAACAGATACGATAGTGAACTTTGAATCAGAGTAAGATACTCATTTTTACTATGCGGATATTTCTATCATATCTTCTATTTATTTATTTGTTTATTTATCAATCACATAGTGAGAGAATTCATAAAGTATTAGTATCAACACATTACAGAGCTCGAAAAAGTAGTACAAATAGATCCGGAGAATTTGATTCTAATTCATTCAATTAAACAGATAATGCTAATTATGTATATGTATCTCCAAGTAATTACTAATACCCCTACGATTCTTCTCTTCTCTTCTCTACTCATCCACACAAGAAAGAGTAGAATTGTATTCCCTTCAACCATTAAAAAAAACTCCATTTTTATTCCTTTCCATCCCATCCTGTTCATTTCGGTTCACTTGCATGTGTTTATGCAAGTAAAATCCGTCCATAATTTAGGGGGTATATCCGAACAACGTACTCCTTTTTCCCAACGCAAATAATACAATCCTTCTTGTTCCCCGGTAAAACTACCAATACTCTGCGCAAATGCAAATACATCTACTTTTCCCAAACGCCGATAATGTTCAAATATTCACGAGTCATGAGATATATATCTGATTAATGAGGTGCGTGATCACTTCCACTTGCGCCATCCAATGCGGGTAAGTGTTCGTAATCGGGGATGGGGGGTCCATCATATAAATCCGTATTAACGTAAGTTGGGGGACTGGCGGGAACATTCTCGTAGAGAGGAGGTTGTTCCTCATCCCACGAGATGCCCAAACCTGATCGCTCGGTAACGGTGAGGTTGAAGTGCATTCGTAAAACTCGTGCGCCTCCGGTTGGAGTGACTTGTGTGGGTTTTTTGATGGGTGCGAATTCTTCGGAGACAATCATCTCGACAATGAGAGTATGGAATACTTCCGTGCCATCTTCAGCTTTCATGTCGCAAATTGGTTTGGCATCGGGACGAATCGAGATGGGAAATTCGATTTCGATGGCTCCATCGGCTGTTTCGTAGTTTGATTTCCATCCAGATTTGATCTCCTCAGTAGCTAGGGTACGGGCATCTTGATGAGCAGCACCTTTCTTGTTCTCGCCTTCTTTGGTCACCTTCGAAGCATGTTTGGAACATGCTGGCGAAATAACTCGGTGAGTTTCATCCAAACGCCATGTCAAACGCTTCAACTTCCAATGATTCTGCGTCTTGGCGTCCACATTACGATTTACAACACCATCCATGCGCATGGAAATGTTTGCTTCACCAATTGGATAGATGACGGGAGGAAGTTGACAGTTGGCGGTCAAATTTGTTGGTGGAAAGATTCGGATCGAGTTGCGTGGTGTGTCGGAAGGGATGATAGCACGCTTGATATTAAGGATGTGGGAGAGTTTCATTGGCTCGCCAGTCTTTGGCACCAATGTAGCTTTGAGAACGTATTCGATGTTAGACAAGCTACCCTTCATACTTGCAGGTAGATGTCCTGGAAGGAGAAAGCTGAATGGAAAGTCATGTTCACCTATAAATTTCAATTAGAATTCTGTAAAAGAAAATGAGAGTGTAGTGTAATGTTTTAGTAATTACCTTTGCGAAGTGTAGCTGGACCTTGAAGGAAATTCCAAGTCGTTAAATCCTTGGATTGGTGGGTACACTCATGACAGTGCGCATGGAATGGTTTCTTTTGTGTGACCTCCAATGCCAATCGCATTTTGAAAGACTCAATTGCAAACTTCTCATCGTGAATGTGTAACTTTAATTGACCTGAGAGTAATGCGCCGGTGCTCGAGCTCGTAGAACCATAGAGGACCAAAGGTGGTGACTCAATGGCGCAGTCGAGTGTAGCACCATGATATTGAGGAATGGATTTCGAAGAAGTTTTGGGTGAATGAAGACCGGGTATCGAAATACGCTTGTGTGTAAGAGAAAGGTCGGGCATCTTGGCGGCTTTATCGTCTGCTATAGAAGAGGCTGATGAAGATGGTGTGCGACTTTTCAACGACGGTCTACTACTTGAATTCCTTCTGGAAGTTTTCTTTCCTTCCGTTGGGAGATCAAATGGATGTGAATGAGATCGAAAGAACGATGTAACGTGCTGCATAGTGGCAGGCATTGGTGGGGTCTTTGTGTGGCGTCTTGTCTTGAACAAGGAAAATAGAGTTTTTTTCTTCTTCTTCTTCTTCTTCTTTTCTTCTTCTTTTGTTTGGCGGCCGCGCAACAGTATTTATGTGGCTTTTAATAGTAACCTTTCATTCGTGTTGGAAGCTGTTTAGTGGGAAGTGGTCGTTTGATTCGAGGTACCCTGGTAAGAAAGGGTGAGAGGTGAGAGGTGAGAGGCGAGAGTTGGAGAATTGGAATAACTCTTCTGGATGGATGGATGGATGGATGATGTGATGAGTGATATATCAGAAAGAAGAAGAAGAAGAAGAAGATGATGATGTTGATGATGGATGATGTAATATATAAATATGTGATATATAGGTATGTATTTTAGGTGAGTATTTTAGTAAACTCGATATAGAGTTTTTATATTCTCTTTGTTTGTGTGGAGAAGTGAAAGGGGGATATATATATATATCTTGAGTGTATGATGTGTATGTGATGTGTATATGTCGTATAAATATGAGAATGGATGAATGAAGTAGTGAATGGAATATTATATGTTGATACTGCCCAGGTGAGTCTGGAGTCTGGAGTATGAAGATGAGTATTAAGCACCTTGTTGGAAGAAAGCGGAAAAAGAGGATATGTATAGTAAGGGATATAAAACCAAATACACATGCAAAAGGGTTGGAGGATGGCTCAACTACTACTAAACTACTACTAAACTACTATGGTATTATCATACATCTCTCACCTGCTCTCATTAGACATCCTGCTCCAATTCTCCAATTCTCCCTTACCTTTCGAGGAATTCTATGTGTCAGATGGATTTCTAGTCAACCAGAATTTGACGTCTGTGATTTCATATTTTTCCCTGGTTACCAGGTACACATGCCAAAAAAAGATGAGCGATTGCCCCTCACATGGGAAAATTCGATATTTATCCTTGTTGGTTCTTATGGGTCATGGAATGGACCATGGTGCATTGTTCCTGTTCTGCTCTGCGGCTGCTGCTCGTTCCAACATATGATTATTATGGGGAAAAAGAAGAAAAATCCATGTTACGGGTAATGGAGGACTCAGGATTGTGCGAAGTAGTCTGTGTGTGCTATCACTACCCAGTTGATTCGTCTGTACAATGTAATCTTACAATGTAATTAATGTACATGGTATGTTTGGTGTTTCTCTAACTTTCTCACTGCTGTCTGATTTCAAGCGGTTAAACATCGCATGAGCCGTCGATCGTGGGACTAGAACCATTGAGATTCTACACCGCAGAATGGAGGATGTATGTAGGTGGCATGTGTATGTGGTACCTAAGTGTATGTGTGGGTGTATGTACGATGGATGATGTATTTTACATGCTCAGGAAACTCTTTGAACCCTTAAAACTCTTCAAATAGATATCTAGAGGCTACGTAGGTACAGTATGGTCTGAAGGCTAAATGGCTCATATTCATCCGCGAAGCTTTCCACATTTCCCATCCAAGGGTATTGTTACCAGAGCTCACTTGATGAGACTGATTTTATATGGGAATCTCAGCTCCGATTCTACGATGGTGCCCAAGAAAGTATATATTCATTCATCTTCAATGTTGACTCATCAACCTCCAGCCAAAAGAAGTGGTACATATTTCCCTTTCAAATGTCAGGTACCCATGAAGGAGTATTGTCAAGTAGTACCTGCCTACATACATACATACTCCTAAACACCTCCCTGGTTAGGAATTACGTTTAGCTTCCTCTGGGGTACGCCCTATGGATCAAGTGCATTCAACGTCAAAGTGTTTTCAACGCCAGTCAGATTCACACGTTCAAACAGCGGATGAGCAATGAGATCGATGACTGGTCAAATGTGCGTGCGTATACACTGACTAGACTGAACTACACCGTACACTAGGGCATGGTAGTTGAAAGCACGCCAGCAAGTTCAGATTCCTTTTGCGATGCATGCGATGGATGAGTGTATGTCACTCACTATATGAGTCTATGGTTCTAGGAGTCTATTTTGTATGAATCAATGACACTCACTGTATGAGTCTATGGTTCTAGGAGTCTACTTCGTATGAATCAATGACACTGCCCAGGTAGCCAGCAACGGTAGTGCTTAGGTAGATATTGATATTGAGGATGGCAACTTTCACGAATACGATATCCCTCAATTCCCCATCACGGTACATCATCGTGTTCGCTCAAAGGAGCTGCACCTCCTAACATTCTTTCGATTCGATTCGTGTTCAACTCCGCAAACCCCCCCCCCCCCCCCTACTTAAAATTGTGACAGCGCGAAGAACACGATGGTGATATCACCACATGATGTGATGAAATCATGATAGTTGTGGACTCTTGAGTCTTGAATAACCCTTAGGACAATATATCGAACCAATCTTGAGCCAGTCAACCATCATCACCCATATCATGATATTCTTCTTAGTCCATAAGGCTTGGAGCTCACGCCATCAAATGAAATATGGAGAATCTGGTAGATCATTCACATTATGAACCGACATGGCCCATACTGTAGTAGGAGCATGTCATCCATCCATCCATCCATCCATTAATAAAATTCCATTTCGGCCCACTCCGACTTTTTTTTTTTTTATCTTCTAGAATCTTTTGGTTGTCAAGGGGATTCGCAATATGCTTCTACTGTTTGCCATCGACAGCATGAATTATCAATTATCAATTATCAATTATCAATTATCATGAAATCACGAATGATTACTAACTCATGGTGCCATCAATCCCAACACATGCGGGGAAATGATACCATACCAATACCATTCTATACAGAGTCAAACTGTGCAACTTTGGAGAATCACCTACTCTGTAGTATTTATCCATGAGTCGGTTCGGTGACTCGTACTCGAGTACATTGGGGTTAAATCCCAATCCCCCCACAGAATGGCGTTGCACAATTGACCTTCTCCTCGGAGGGAATCATGTGCTTGACGCCTTCCAATTTGATCCTCTCCATCGGATCTAATGGCTTCATTGAAGTTCATTCTATCCAAACGGAAGAGAACAAGCGACGACATGGCATCATTCTCTATTTCTCACCGGGAAGTCTCATCGACCATTCCAGCGAGAAATCCTCAAAATCCTCAAATCGGGATATACCTTCCCAATCCGGCTGGGTCTGATAATACCTAGGACCTAGGTAGCCGCAAAACCCCATGTGATTCCATCGAGTAAGAAAAATCCCATTCGACCACATACTACAAACTGGAAACGCATCGTGCAACAAATCTCCATCTTGATTGCATCGCTTTTCTCAATTCCAGACCGATCTCTCAGCTGTCCAATGAAACCCGGAAGTCATTGTCCAATCCTATTCGATCACATTCAATACCTGTTACATAACATTAAACCTTATTTTGTCGAATCCTACACCACTTTTCATGCTCTCATCAATATCAAGACTCGAGAGTGGAAGAATCACGGCGAGGTGGGAAGCTTGACTCGATGAGATCCACAGGTACCTCAAGTATCCACCGTCATGACCTTTCGAGCGGTTGAACGCATACCCAAAAAAAATCAAGATCTTCCAAGCTTTCCAGATGATACTAAATTAGTAGGAGAAATTTTTAAAGAAATTTTAGACTTCCCGTCGCTTCGCTCACGGTCCAAGTCGGCTGTATCTCCACTCATGTACCGCATGTACCCTCGATTACACTTTTCTAGAAATCTGATGTTTTGCGTACAAGATCAATTCTACCGAGAAAAAGCGAAAGACATGGCGTGACAAAACCTTCCGATTGGATCATAGACATTCGGGGATGTCCTTCCTTGATCTTTAATGACTCAGGGGAAAGACACGCAAATTCTTCCACGGTTCGGCGGCTGTCTGTCTCCAGATGAAAATTTTCTTTGACCAGCAGGGCAGAAAAATTTGGTGCGACGCTTGAAGCTGGAGCCTTGAAGGCTGAAGCAAGCTTCTTCTTCGTTTTTCGCTCACCGGTCAAAGCCGATTCTGTGGATCTTTCTCCCTCCACAATTGAAAAGGAGACCAAGGAGACACCGAAATAAGAGAGATTCTAGAGTTCCAGAATCTAGATGGTAAAAAGCCTCATCCTTTCATCATGTTACCTTTTGCAGGCCTCAGGAATTGAATATTCATCATCACTGTGGAAACGAACGGTGAAGAATGTACTTCGTATTGTTGGTGAATTGGAGTCTGAATGAATGAATAAATGTGAAGAAGTGGAGCTTTTTTTCATCTGCTACGTACGGGGTACGTGCATGGTTGCATTACAAACTTGCAATTGACAGATCATGATGGATGAAACGAAACGTCGAATCTAGGCATGGGGGATGTGGTTCTTGCGAGACGAATGATCATCCTCTTGTGAATTTTTCTTCATTCTTTGTTCAACGGTAGGTAGGTGGAGATTAGTATGGGTGGGTATGAGAGGTGTAGAGTCGAGAGTCGAGACGATTTCGAATGTGATGGATGCATCAATCAATGTTGCTGGCATGTTACAGATGGCCGAGTATGTGTATCGTTGGCTTTCTCCACAAGCAAGTGAAAGAGTCCAGATGCATATGGGCAGAGTATCAAAGTCGACAGGTAGTCTATTGAACAATAGCCCTGTGATTAAGTATACATATACACTGTCTAGATTCGAGCAGTTGTACTGTATATTTGAGACCATACGAGTTTTCTAACACTCATCGCCACAAGGTATCATTCCACCGTTTGATATCAGGATATCACATGCTTCATCATTCTCGAAAGAAAGGCAAACCTGCATGGCGAGCGCCGGTCTCCGTTGTGGTGATCAGCTAAATCATTAGTAGGTACCTAGTAATCTTTACCACTCCATATGCCACTCATACTCATAGCATCATCTACTTTTCGGTTTCAAAACAGCACCTTCTTTCTTGATCTATGTACAATTTTCCCCCTCTCTTTCCCAGCAATACTAAATAGATGTTCTACTCACAATCCATTCACCCGCTCTGTAAACCTAACAAACACTGCTTTTCACCCTCCTAATATCCTACCCACTCCCTCCCCCAAATCTCTCCCCCAAATCTCTCATAAATCACAAAAACCAAGCAAACGCACGTTCCCATCCCAATATCCCCAACTCCAACTCCGAACTCACTAAGCCCTGCCCTGACTTACCTAATTAAATAAATTCAATTCCCTAACCAAATTCCTCCCCCACCAAAACTTTTCTTCATCCGCCCCACATGAAAAAAATATCCTTGAATAACCCAACACCCCAAAAAAAATCATTTCAGAAAAAGCAAAAGAGATATAAATCATAAATCGATACACGCAAAAGTTCAAACGTGTGTCGAGCACAAACATCTATCTGACCTACGCAGGGATCGAACCTGCAATCTCTTGATTCGTAGTCAAGCGCCTTGCCATTGGGCCAGCAGGCCGGTGATTGAGTGTTTTGGGGTGTTTGATGAATGGGGGGGTGGGAAAGGGGAATATGTTGAGAGTTTGTGGAGAGGGGGATGGGATGTAGGGGTGCTTGATTTGGGTTTGGTGTTGGTTTTGATTGGGAGTTTGGTAGAAAATTAGGGGTTGTGTGGGAGGATGTATAGAGAGATATTTGGTGTGTATGTATATATATGTATATATGTATATGTGATGGGAAGAGTGTGTAGGGGGAGAGTGTGAGGGGGAGAGTGTGTAAGGGAAAGAAAGAGTATGGGGTGTTTTAGAGGGAGTATGTGTTTGATGGGTATATATATATACCTACATAGATGTATGTTTGATGTCTTCCTTTCTTCCTTTCTGCCTTCTCGGAGGAAGGAGGAGGAAAGAGAGAGAGAAGCTTTTTCTGAATTAGTATATATATATATATATATATTTCTTTACCCTCCTTCTCGTATAGGAGAGGCAGTATAGGAGGAGTTGTGTAGCAGGGGGGGTATGATTTTTCTTTCTTTCTTTCTTTCTTCCTTTTGGATAACTTTAAAGTTTATACTAACTAGATGAATATTTATATATATTTATAGATTTAGATTTAGATTTAGTCTAGAAATTAGAAATAATATGTATTGGAATATTTAACTGTGATAGTATCATAGTATAATATAATAGCATAACAATCTGATAGTATGAGTATGGGTAGGTATCATATATTATGTATTGTAAACACAATTTCTTCTTTTCGGTGGATAGAAAGGGGGAAGGAAGAGGGAGGAGTGTGAAAGTTTCCTCTGGTTTATGTATATGTATATTTGATTTGTAATTGAAGTTGCTTATTGAGGTGCTGTGATGTATATAATGTGTGAGATGAGATGGAGTGAGTATATATGTCTTTTTCCTTTCAATTGAGGAAAAGTAGTGAAAGGAGGGGGAAGGGGGTTAAATGTTTTCTTCCTTCATGATGAGTTTACACCTACTACGTTGGTATGTAGAGTGGGCGGATTATCGTCGCTGTTGTTATTCTTATATGTAAATGGAAATGTGAATTTCTTCTCTCCTCCCTCCCATCTCATTGACTAAATATGAGACAACTCCCATGATAAAAATCTCGAATAATACTTTTCTCTATATCGATATCAAATATCACATCTCTCAAGTATCAAAATTGACATTCCCGAAACCTTTTTGAAAAGAAGCAAAAAATTCCTCCTAAAATACCCATTTGTAGGAAAAGTTTGGGACTCCCATATTAAAAGTGCTATTTTCAAAATTGCAGAGAAAGAAATGCCAATCTTGATATTCCATAAGATCCTACAATTCCAAATATTAACCCTAAGTTTCATTCTCTCCCACCCAATAATTACAAAGGTACACCTCCATCCTCTCCTTCAGAATTGTCGTCATAAGAATAATTCGCTTCGTACGTATCTTGATTTTGATTTTGCTGATAGAGAACGTCCTCGTTCTCTTTATTCGCTTGAGATAGATCAGAAGTTTCATTCCTGACATGGTGATGGCGGGTTTTTGTTATTAGTTCCTCTTCTTCCTCTTCATCGTTTATTCCCCTGCCAAAGATCCACAATCTTCCTCCTCGTCATCACCTACTACAGACTCACGATCCTCCTCAACGTCATCACCTTCCCCTCCCACTCCACCAATCAGATCCTCTACAAAAGACCCCCTACCCCCCGTCTCTCTCCCCCCCACCTCCGAAATCTCCGTCAAAGAATCCGGTTTCCACCCCCCCGGCCCTCTCATCTCCTTAATCTGCATCAAAACCTCCCCCCTAAAAACCCTCGACATCTCAATCAACACCCCCTCTCTAACCTTCTCCCCCCTCTCATCCCCCTCCTCCACATCCGGCGCTCTCCACTTCAAATAATGATTACAATGACTCGCGGGCACTACGAACCTCCCAGGATGCACTCTAATATAATGGTAACAACAATAACACGCCGCTTTACTACACGCGATATAGCGATCCTTGTCTACAAAATGGAGATTCCTTGAGTGGAAATGCTGGAGCAGGAGTAACTCGGCGTGGATTTTTGGTCGCCAATTCCGGTTTGTGCAGTGGGAGGAGAGATGGGTGGAGAGTTGATATTTGTGGTCCATTTCTGCGAGGGCGGCGCGGTAGGAGGTAATAGCGAGGGGGTCGCTCATGGTTCGTCCGATGAGGGCGTAGAGAGTAGGGTTGCGTTCTTGGAGGGGTGGGGGGAAGGATGAAGAGGAGGGGAGGTGGGAAATGGTGAGTTGGGTGAAGAGATGAGGGAGGAGGATGCGGGTGGATAGGAGGATTTGGATGGCTTTCGGGGTATGGTTTAGTCGACCAATGGTGTGGCGAATTTGGGTAAATCGAGTCGCTAATGGAGAGCCGAGTTGGATGAGTATTTGGAGGTGTGTAAATTCTTGTGACGCTGTTGTACATGTTTTGTAGCAGAAACGACAGAGTTGAGATGGATGATCGGTGAGAGTGAGAAGTCTTTGAAGCCATGTGTGAAGGTGAGTCGAGGAATCTGTAATGTAGATTTTGTCAGATACGAAGATACATAATGCATATGAAGCTTCCTACCTTCATCTTGATTATCCTCTCTAACCATCTTCCATTTTCCCAACACGAACTTGATATCCCGCACCAAAAAAGATGCGTAGGAAAAAATTCTCTTCTCAGCATACTTTACCGACAACTCAAATATTTTATGCTCAATATCCTCCCTATTTTTCTCAAAATCCTTGATGCCATCATATCCAGCACATCCTAAAAGTCCCAACACCATTTTCAAAAACTCCACACCCCTTTCCGGTCGCGAATACTTGTTCCAAGCAACATGATATACAATTCCCCCCTTATCTAACTGCTGCAACGCAATTGCAGTTGTGCTATCGCCTCCTTTCTCATAATCGCATAAATAGGCTAGATGTCTCGTGAATGATCTTCTTAGCTTGGTTCGACTCATTTCGTCCATTTCTTGATTCCTATTCGCTTCAAGAGCACTGGTGTTCATGTCAATATCCAAAATCTCATCGTCGAAACCATCGGTTGGGGTTTCTTCCTCTAGAATTCGTGAGCCTCGGTTAGAACCAAAGACGGTGAGGAGAATTAGCGCTTCGTAAAATCGTTTGAGGAGTTTGGGGGCAACGGGGATGAGGGATGGGGATGGGGGTGCAAGTGACAGTGGGTGTGGAAGTGGGTGTGGAAGTGGAAGTGAGGTCGTGAGTGTTAGGGCATGATGTTTCTTGGACTGAGATTGACCTTTTGGTGGGGGGTTGGATAGAAGTTGTGTTAATTTTGGGGGGCTCGAGTTGGATGGAGGGGTGGAAGTAGTGATGGGCAGGTGGAATATGGATAAGTCATTCTCATTGAGTCGGTGGGAGCTTGGGATGGTCTTTTGTAAACTGTCTTCTTCTGAATCTTTTCCTTTCCCTTTACCCTTCCCTTTCTTTGGGAGGGACTTTGAAGCCGCCACACATATAGCTGGGGAGGCGACAATCTTCTCCTGGGGATTTCTGGATTTGGTGTTAGGCGAGTTGACGACGCGTTGGCGCTTTATATTTTCTTCGCTTTTTGCAGACTTCTTTTTTGAAGCCTGAGGTACTTTGCTTTTCACTCCGCTCTCGACATTGGAGGAAAGCGGTTTAGTGAAGATGGAAGGAGAAGAAGTAGAGGAAGATGTGGATGGTAGAAGAGAACTCAGTTTTGTCTGAACTTCCTCTATAGTCACCCCCTTCTTCGAAGGACTTGTACTTTTTTGACTAATTTCTGGAGTTTTATTCCTTTGCTCCTTCTTCGTATTGTCTTCTCGCTGATTTAGACCTTGCAATGCATTCACTTGATCGCCATTCCCACCCGATTCAGTTTGTAATGCAGACCCGGACTTCCTTTTTGATTTTGTTATAGGTTTCGTCATTATGATAGTACTCATTGATAATGTCCTTGAACAACTATCTCCATAGAGGCGGAGTGCCAGTAGAGAGCAGTCTTTGTTTGATGTTGCGATAGCCTTGTTCTACAATCATCCATGCATATATGCAGGCATCCGCTGGCGCGAGTCTTGACCCCCAGCTTGCCGGTAAGTTGTCTAATGAGTAATATCATTGCATGCGGGGTTTATGTAGACTTCTAAAATTGATCGAAATAGGCGCCCGAATCGAGGGTTTTGGATGGAGTAGAAAAACCACACATGGATTCTTTCATTCATATCTATTTTGTTACACAAAAATATGTGCAACATCTCATTGGTTTACATGCAGTTGCACTGATCGATAAGGATGTGGCTTTACGAACGATAGATATATTTAGCATGGCTTATCCCATGAAGTTAAGGACGAGGTAATGGCTTTGACTGTGTAGTATACACAAATACTTCTTGTCACATATTGAACTTCATTGTGCATCTATCGATATGCTGGACTCTTATGCGTAGGAAAAGATCTTTAGGTTTGACCTATAACTTTGAAGTTATTGATAATACCAATCCTCGGAGCTGTATTGATATTTGATGTATGTAAAAGATTAAGGATTGGCATATGAATCCCAATCTCCAACGCTCCACATAGATCACCAGGTCTTACTATTAGATTGGAGAAGAGCCTTTAACCAGCCTGGTAGCGTAAATAGACTATAGATGGTTATGGTACTATATTTTATAGGAGCAAACCGCCGAAAGCTAAAAACTAAAATAGAACTAGACAACAAATTGCAGAACGACCATCCGCCGCTGCGAAGACTCAATGCTTGAGCTTCCTGGAAAAGTGAATATTATCTTTTGCATTCGACTTCGGTAACGATCAGATCAAATCGATCGACTGAATTTTTACAATATCTCATCAATTGATGGAGATTCAATAAAGATTAGAGACTTTGCATAAGTGGGTTTGAAATAACTAAGAACGTATAACGAGAAGCATGAAATGATGAAGAATTTTAATACGACAGGAATACTCAACAGATGACGATCTTCTGATGAGTCAATAAACTAGATTCACCAACAACTTGACTGGTATTAAAAGATAGCAAGTCCGATTGGGCTTGTGGGCAAGGAAAATCGAATACATTGACATGAGTATACATAGAGATATAAGAATAACTCGCAAGGAATCGTGCTTCCAGAAATTTCATCACAGAACCCAAGATTAAAACAAGCAGACCAACACGTTCTAGATATGAAATCTATCAGGATCATCAAGATGAATTCTTTTGAATGGGATTTGGTGGCTCTGGGGACTATCCAGGCTCAACGAAAACTACGTACTGCTCGTCTCAGCAAAACTGCTGAGTAGGTGAGCTACGAAAGTTATGAATTCAAACAAATAGCACATAAATAGAAAAGCTGGAAGCTTCTATCAACATGTCCCATGAAGCAGTGGTTCACTTGGTCAATATATACGATGTAAAGAACTAGAAAAATAAGCAATCTTCGAAGAAATAATATGTCGTCAAAGTGAGACATGAGATGAGGTTTTCACTAGAAAATAGGATGCGATTGTAAGTTACAAATCGTGTAAACAAGCTCACTGTACTTTTCCAGTGAAGTTATCCCAAAGAGGTACTCCTGAGGTGCTCTCGAGGTAGCATATTATCCGCTGGATGCTTGAAAGTCAAATGGGCAGCCATTTGATCAACAATTGATTACCTAATCCGAGCCGAGTTTCTCCCAATCTAGCTTACGATAACCAAAGCTCCAGAGCTTCATGCCACATTGGAGGTCCATACCCCATTCGACATCATTCATTATGCGACTCCCTCTAAATTTGCTTTGCCTGACTCTGTCAATACTTCCCAGAACTTTCGCAGTCTTCGCAGACGAAGCTTACACAGTTGACTACCATCACGAATTACTAGGTCTCCCACAATCAGACGCAACCTTCTTCTACAGACCTAGGGAAACTGAACAGGGCGCGCTATTATATACATTAAGTGATCTTGGCGTCCTTGGAGCTGTCAATCCAGGCACGGGGGACGTTCGATGGCGACAAATACTGGCGAATGGTGATAATCACGGAGAAGGCTTACTGCGACCAGTTGAGGGAGCTGGTACAATTATTAGTGCTTTGGGCAACAGAGTAGATGCTTGGGATGCGAAGAGTGGAAGGGAAAGATGGGGAAACACTTTCACAGGACAAGCAAAAGATATGGAAGTAGTTGAGGGATTTGACAATATCAAGGATGTTTTGGCTCTATTCGAAGATGCTGGAAAAGTCGTGGTACGAAAACTTAATGGAGATAATGGAGATGTTGTTTGGGAATATGTTGATGCTAGTGGTGATTTACCTCTACAAGTCAGCACAAATGTTAGAGACATTTTTGTTGTCACTCTTCATGGTTCCTGGGGCGGCTATAGCGTCAAAGTTACCACTCTAGACCATTTGACAGGCAAAAGAGTTACCGAATACATACTCTCCACCAAAGGAGATGTTCATACACCGGAGGACGTTTTACTTGTCGGAGCCAACTCTGCTGCTCCTATCATTGCTTGGACCGATAAATCGCTGAAGAGTCTCAAGGTCAATATCCTGGGAAAACCAAGCGACTTGCAGACATTGCCTTTGAAAGAATCGGATGGCGAGCTTACAAAAGTCTCTATTCACGCGCCTGATTTGGTGCAATCCTTACCACATTTCTTGGTACACAGTCACTCGGCAACTTCAAACAGAGCAGATGTTTATCATATCGATATGAAAAGCGGTAGCATTAGCAAAGCATATGAGATCCCCAAGCTTGCAGGTAGCGGTGCTTTCTCAACCAGTTCGCAAGGTGCCAACGTCTATTTCACTCGTTTTACCGAGGAAGAGACTTTTATCTTTTCTTCGATGTCGCATGGAATTTTGGGTAGATGGCCAATTAAAGCAGAGAAGCAACATGACCGACTTCGATTTCTCCATGGTGCATCAGAGGTAGTCCAGAAAGCTCCTGATACTTATGCTGTAAGATCAGCCATGGTGAGCGCGGATCAAGACTGGGTTCTAGTGCGCAATGGTGCAGTAGCTTGGTCTCGCGTCGAGGGTCTTTCTGGTGTTGTGGCTGCTGAATGGGCTGAAATCCCAGCCTCTGAATCATTAGCAGAGACACTTGAGGCAGAAGCTCACAGCAACCCCTTGGAAGCATATATTCACCGAGTCAATCGTCATATCAATGACTTGGAATACCTTCCAGCATACTTGGAAAAATTACCAGCCCGGATTTTAAGCGCTATCTTACCTGAAGATTTGGTTACACCGAGTGAAAGTGTTTTAGAGCGAGATAATTTTGGCTTCAACAAGTTAGTCATCGTTGCAACCCAAAGAGGTCGTTTGTATGCACTTGATGCTGGATCCCAAGGGCGTGTCGTATGGGGCTCCAAAGCTTTCGATATACCAGCTGGAAAGAAGTGGGACGTCAAGTCCATATTTGTCAACAATGCTAAAAGTACAACAACCGTTCGAGGTAGCCAAGGAGAATATATTATCGTGAACACTACAACTGGAAAGGGACTTGAGGCTATAAATCCTGGGCAGTGGCCACCCGTTCAGAGCGCGGCTGTAGTTGATAGTAATCTTGGCAGGTGGGTGTTACCAATTGGCACCGATGGAAATCCTGGCGATATACCAAAAGATTGGGCACCAAAGGAATTGCTTGTGGTTCGGGGCGAGAACGGTGAAGTCAAAGGTTTAAAATTTGACATTCAAGGTGCTGATGCGAAACCTATCTTTACCTGGTCATTTCAACCACCTTCTGGGCAAAGGATTGTTGAGGTAGTCTCTAAACCCGCGCATGATCCGGTTGCGTCGATTGGGCGAGTCCTTGGTGATCGTACTGTTATGTACAAATACTTGAATCCCAACACTGTTCTGGTTACTGCCGTCTCCGATGAATCCTCAATTGCCTCCTTCTATCTTCTTGATACGGTTTCTGGCGACGTTCTCTATTCTTCGAACCACGAAGGTATTGACACTAAGAAACCCATTGCCTCTGTCTTCACCGAGAACTGGTTCGCATATTCTTTATGGAGCGATGAATTGTCAACCACCACTTCTCTGCATGGATCAAAAGGATATCAACTTGTCGTCACCGATCTTTACGAGTCTCCTATTCCAAATGATCGTGGAACCCTCGGCTCATATGCGAATGCATCAAGTCTAGACCCGTCAGACGTACCAAATGCTGGCCCAATTCTTCCTCATGTTATTAGCCAATCATTCGTGGTTCCTGAAGCGATAACCCACATGTCTGTCTCCCAAACCCGCCAAGGTATTACTACTCGTCAACTTCTTTGTACTCTGGAATCCAATTCCATCATTGGTATTCCCCGTTATCTTCTCGATCCCCGTCGACCAGTTGGCCGAGACCCTATCCCTGCCGAACAAGAAGAAGGTCTTCTTCGTTACTCGCCTGTCATCGAATTTGATCCAAAACTTATCATCAGTCATAAACGTGAAGTTCTTGGTATCAAAGGTGTCATTACCAGCCCTGCTATACTAGAAAGTACCAGTCTGGTTTTCGCATATGGAATTGATGTCTTCGGAACAAGGGTCAACCCTAGCGCTGCTTTTGATATTCTAGGCAAAGCGTTCAACAAGTTGAGTTTAGTGGCTACTGTTTTGGCATTGGGAGTTGGTGTTGCAGTTTTGGCGCCTATGGTAAGTTATTCTACTTTGTCTATTGTTTAATGAGTGCTGTGCTAATATTTTCACAGGTGAGGAGGAAGCAAATCAATGGCAGATGGTTGAATGCATGATTATGATTATGTTATAGAATTTTGTAAATTATGATAATATAAGGAGGGCTAAAAGTATTACTCTCATTGAAGATCAACGATTTCACTCAAGCTATCGGTGAACTCTGTTTTTTTTTGGCATGATGCCATCTAGTTACGAAGTTACTATCAGCCATATGAAATGATAAATAATGTTGATATTAGAGGTTTATAATCTTGGCTGACATATATCTTCACCTTGTTTGACTTCGGCCGATTTGTAGCTCACTTAATCACTGTCAACGCACCTCGTGCCCTCGTTCAACCTTTTGAGATGAATATTTAGGGGCAACACAACACGCTTGGCACTAGCAATCTGCGGATGATAACTGAACTTTTTCTTCACAATCCCCCAGTTTCATTATTATTAATTGAAGGTTTGGTGGTTGTTACCAAGTATTTATATATATGGAGACGTTTCTTGATGGATCATCGCGCTGCGCTTTGACGAGGTGAGGTTGGAATCGAAAGTATTAGTAATTCATAGAATGAAGATGGTGTGGAGAACCGTTAACATCTATCTTCGTCATCGATTCCTTTAGCTTGAAGAAAGATACTAAGGTATCTCCACCTAAAATACCCCTCCATTTTTTATTGTGGAATAGAGAGGTCTTGCTTTGTTACGCATTCGGATTTAACGCTGTTAAGAGATAAGTCCTCTATGTCTCTATACACCTAGGCACGTAAGAGGATTTCGAGTTTTGTTCGAAAATCGTATATATATACCGTCTATTTGCATTTTGGTCTGGGAATCATTGATTCAGAGCCCATTTCTTCATTCATTCATTCATTCATCCATCTTATCAAAAAATATACTTGAATAGCAAATATGCCTGGAAAATACCAAAAGCTCGTTTCCAAACACGTCCTCGTCATAGGTGGCTCCTCCGGAATCGGTTACTGTGTAGCAGAAGCCTCACTCGAAAGTGGTGCATGCGTTACAATATCCTCATCCTCTCCGGATCGGGTGTCCAAAGCAGTTGAGAAACTCAAGAAGAGTTATCCAGATGGGAAAATCAGCGGGTTTCCATGCGATCTCTCTAAACCTACTCTCGAAGCCGACGTTGAGAAATTGTTTGAACAGACGGGGAAAGTAGATCATATCGTTTTCACGGCTGGTGATGCACTATCTCTTATTCCGTTAGAGAAAGCGTCGTTAGAGGATATGCAGAAGGCGGGACAAGTGAGATTTTTTGGACAATTGATGGTGGCGAAAGTTGGGAGTAGATATCTTAGTGAGGGGCCACAGGCTTCGATAACGTTGACGACGGGGTCGACGGCCGATAAACCAATGAAGGGATGGAGTATTGTTACTAGTTTTGCGGCAGGGTTGCATGGGATGGCGAAGAGTTTGGCGATTGACTTGGCGCCTGTGAGAGTTAATGTTGTGAGTCCTGGTCCGGTGAAGACGGAGTTGTGGAATGGAATGGAACAGGGGGCGAGAGAGAAGCTGTTTAAAGAGGTGGAGGGTAATGTGTTGACGAAACATGTTGCATTACCAGAGGAGGTTGCGGAGTCATATTTGTGGTTGATGAAGGATAGTAACGTAACTGGAACCGTTGTGAGAAGTGATTCTGGTACGTTGCTTGCTTAGCTGCAGACAATAATGCTCCGGCAATAGCGCTTAAGCAACATAATCATCGAGGAGGATATATGCTATCATTTGATAATTCTGTTTCTGATAATAAACTGATAAATCTCATCAATAATCATCAGACAACATAGTAGAATTGCTGCCATTGAATTTCCAACCAACTCCCTCACATGTTTGCCCGTTATTATACCACTTCAGTTGTGGAAGCATTTGACTAGCAACCCATCTAGCTGTGGTGGTATGTCTACTCCCATCCCCAAAAGGTTCGTCCGTACGATCGGGGCGACTTTTTAGATCAGACAAGAGCTCATGTCCCAAAATTGTTGATCGACCATCAGCAAGTGCTTAGAAAATAACTAGTTGATCTTGAAGATACTCATCTATTAAACCTCCCTTTTCAAACTCTGAAACAAGATCTTCAACAACCTTCTCTGCCATCTCGGCCGATATATCTTCTGGGGTTCTAACCTTTGTCTTTCTATCGTACAGCCAATCGCGCCCAAATCTTAGTCCAGTATAAGTATGAACTACTAAAAGTGTGTATATCCGATGCGTATTCTCTCTTAGAATAATATTGATCTTTACTTCAGGAAAGCGCTGCTTAATATGTTTAGTCAAAGCATCCTCAAGCGGTTTCTGAAGCGTCTCAAGTACTAGGATCGAGATATCTATTTCCTTCACGCTTCCGCGTTCAGTTGGCCAATTTGGGACTTTCAGAGACTGGCCAAAAGGTATGGGATGTATCTTGAACTCTGCATGGCCCAGTTTTAATGGGCCATGTGACCATCCTCTAACTTTGAGTTGTCGCTCTACATAAATACCGAATATTTCGAGAGTTGGTAGTAGTACTTGATCGAGATACTCATATGATAGAGAGAAACTTCCATTGGTCCCTCCTTTAATTGAGAGCCTGACTGGATGAGCCGCGGTATCATTTGCAAATAGCACCACAGGAAGGACTGCCTGAAGCACAAGTAGAATGCTAGATGCAGAATCTGCATCAATCTCGATATCTCTATCAACCGTATAAGGATGGAGGGAGTTAGGCTTGAACTCGATTGTCTTGCTTCCCACGAAACATCCGTTTGTCTCGGCGGATGTGATTTTCGCGAGCCATTTTGTAGCAGAAACGTGCTGTGCTTTCAGACCACCATTTCTTTTGCCTAATCTTTAATTACGAGTTCACATATCGGGCTGAATTTATCACAGATGAATACTTTACCTGTTACCTCTGACATTCGTGATTAGGAGAGGGGTTCCGGTCAGAGCAGCTAGTGAAACCGCGATCCTGACAAGTCTGCCAAAAGAATCAACAAAACAAGCCAAACCGATATGGTACTTAAACACTCACTGTCCACCACCTTCGCCAGTTCTCCCATCAAGCTTTACCAATTTTTGTGGTGTCGATTTCGCCATGGTTGTGTCTGTAGACTTTATTGTGGGAGTAGTAAAGCTATTTACATGCCGTGTTAAACGTTTTGCTTCCCTACCTACAAGACTTCAAGAACAACAATGATCTTGAGACTGTTATAAAGGGCAAGATCAAATCAATCAATCCGTGAGATCTTTTGATCTTGTGCCTCTGGCGAACATGAATGAGTCATTGACCGAGTGAGGAGTCCGGACTGCGGCCATGCTTGTACACAAAGTCTTTAAACAACTAATGACTCGAAAGCGATCAAGACAACATGGTGTCGATACACTGCTCTCAGTATCGCGCTCAACACTTATTCTCGGATTTCTCTTCCATATAACGGTACATTGCGCTATCGACGGAGCATATATTTGTGGCACGAGCACGAACCAGTTTGACCACATGAACTATTCTCACCCCGCAAACTGATCCGCTCAGCCTCCCCACAAATCTTTGGTCCAGACCTTGGCATTACACTGCCTTAGCAAGAGAATGTCTCATTAACAGCCTTACATATATTGATACCTCACTGTAATCCTCTACAGCGCCGTCCATAATGGTCAACAAGAAACTTGACCTCGACACATTGTTCGCAGGAAACCCGACAATTTCCACATCAAAATGTCGCGAATGGGGCGACAGCAATCGCAGGCGAGTGGTTTGAATTCCCACTTGCATCCAAAGCCAGGACGCTTTTCACTCTGGCCCGGGAGGAGAACAAATGCCACTGCTGCGAGAGAAGAAGCTGCTATAAGTAGTGGTTCCGGATTAATGATTGATGTACGCTCCAAAATGTCCATCCACCTTTGCGTTCTATCAACCCCTTCATTTCGTTAACATCTCCGCAGCCCCCGCACAGCGATCTAATCGTTAGCTCGCCCGTTATTCTCCCGGAAATCGAGTTAACGAAATCCAATATATCGCAAGATCTTTTCATCGGCGCATTGCATGATCCTAATTATATTCAATTGCAAGAAAATGTGAGGAAGGTGCGTAGAGTACTGGTGGGACCGGAACCTAAAAATATAGATGCCGCCTGGGAGGTTTACAAGAGACAGAGAGAGGAATCTCTGGAGCATTGTCGAAAATTGATTGAGAAATCGCGTAAGTCTTTTATATTTCGGATGATCTTCACCCTATTTATAATCTGTTCATGAAACTAAATGCAATAATACATTCCGAAGAGCATCATGCTCGAAATCCATCATTCGAATCCAGCATTGGCCCGTTAGATACGCGATCATCTCTCAGCAGTGGATCGTTTGACGATGGATCTCTACCATTTCAAATCAATAACTCGTGGCTATCAGCTATTTGTGATTATAAAGCCTTCCAGGAAAAACTTGCTACCACCCTTCGCACTTCTCTTGAAGTGACGTATGCTGCCTACGAGCCCGATGCATCTCAACGCCAGCTTGAAATCTTCTTAGCAGACAAGGAGCATCGGAAAAGTGTTATTACAAAATGGCGAGATACAAGTGTTCGTAGGGTGAAGTCGGAAAAGCCCGAATTCTTCGAAAAGTACAAGATACGATCTTTGAACTTCGATAAACTGAAGCATGATATTGAAGAATCGGAAAGCTTGTTCGACACAGGTCATACACCAAATAGAGTCGTTCGTGAATCTATTATTTATAAGAATGGAGACACAATCTTAGAATTTGCAAATCGCCCTTCGGATAGTCTTCCGGTTATCAGATTTCGTGTGTCGTCCCATTTTCTGAGCCCAGACGATGTATCACCGTTATTCTCTCAAATGCTCTGCCCAGGACCAATGATCCCGCCAGATATGATGAAAGATCTCCCCAAAGCACCAACCAAGATCTTCGGAAAGGACGGTATTGGAGTGAATGTTTATCGTATGCCACAGATGGAGCCCAACAGCCATGAGGCACTGGCACTTCTCTTCCACGCTATACATGGACACACTCAAAGGCTTCCACGGGAAGATATTGATTTTCCAGTTTTCGTTAGTATTGCAGATGTATGCTTAAGGTACAGGTGCACATCGCCAGTAGAGTTACAAGTGGAGTATCAATGGCTACCTCAATGGGAATCTCAAGCCGCCGAAAGCAATCCTGAAGAACTTCTCCTCATCGCGTATACATTTGGCGCAAGAGATCTGTTCACGCGTATCTCTAGGAGCATCATTTTAAACTCAAAGGATGGCGAAGATGAGACTCCAGGTCAAAAGCTTTGGCCACAAGCTATCAAGAATACGATCAGAACACGCAGGGCTATATACATGGAGCAAATCCTTGATTATTGTGCGAGTGTCATAAATGAATACCTTCAGCCACCACGACAAAGCGCAGAGAGACCAGTTCATGTAGGATCACTTGAGCTATCCACGGTACGATGCCCAAGGGGATCCCATACTTGCGATGCCACGAATCTAGGGTGGCTTATGCTAGTTTACAACGAATTGGGTGTTTCTCCTCTTTCTCCTAAATCATCATCGAAGCGCAGTCTGAAGGAATTGATTGACTGCTTGAGATTGATGCCTAGTCCACCCCAGACTCATCTCGGCGTCTGTGATTTTGCTCCTGACTTTAGAAACAAAATAAATGACATTTCGAATACCATTATAGGTCTTACGCTTCACGATGTCTCGGGTCAACATGGATGGGCCTTGAGTAAGGGCGACGATCCCCAAGATACAGCCCCAGAAGAGATCTTTGAACTACCCGCACACGTTAGCACAAAAGAGTGTATTGTCGAAGCCGAGAAAGCAAAAGAGGCAACAAGAAGTGCCGTCTGCCTCCGAATCCTCTCACTTCTCGACAATCTCGAGGACCTCCATGCGGCCGCAATGATTGATAAGTCATTCTACGGGGCTTATATCAAAAATGAAGGAAAACTACTTCGGAACATAGTGAAAGCCGGATTGAAACATGCCTCCCAGATAGCCGAAACGCAAATCAGCCCATCGGATCGGATGGCTCAAGATAGTACTGATTCTTTGGAAGCTACTGCTGTCGACCTTATTGATGACTCTGAATCTGCTGTGTCTTCCGTTTCGGGCAATGAATCGTTTAATGCTCAAGACGGAGATCTATACGACGTTTCACCGCCGATGTCACCCATTGATATAAGTGCAATGCCTGTGCCCACATCAGAAGAAGAGGCACGAGAACTTCTCACACGCAATGTTGAAGCTACCAGTCGAGCCTGGGCGATGAGAGACTCGTTGCAGTCTTCCGAAAGGCATGTAAATTTGACACAAAAAGAAAAGTTTCTGGCAGGTGATTTTGCACATATAGAGGACAAAGCTCGGTTAGAAGAAGAGAGCAAACAGTTACAGGCTGGAAGGGATAAATCTATTAATCTCAGAGGGTAGCGGCATCTCTTCCCCCCTTTCATCTTAATTTTGTGGGCTTTCGTCGTGGTGTTTTTGGTCAGATATTGGATAACAAATTGTATAATGCTGATTCATGAGGATTTGGTGGGAAAAGTGACAAGGCGCCATATACCCCGTTTGAAAGAAAGGTTCAATTTCCACGTCAATATTTTATAGGTTTTTAGATATAGTTAGAGATCCTTCAACAGTCATCAATATATGCTCCATCAGTTTAAGAAATTTGTCAACTTACTCGATCAAATTCCCATCAGGGTCTCTACAATAAACACTTCTCAGCTTCCCTTGAGCACCGGTGCGTATCACAATTCCTTCATCAGTTTTCTCTGGGCTCAGATCGACCATCTCCACACCTGCATCTATTAGGCGTTGGCGAACATCTTTAACATTGTCATCCGTTATGAAGCACAAATCTGCACTTCCATCTTTCACATTTTGCGCTTTGGGTTCAAATTCCTGATGCATTTCAGCGCGGTGAGATCATATATTCTGAAAAGGACGTTGAAGCAAAGTTACCTTTCCGAGTTCATGTAGATTTATTTTCTGTGAACCAAAAAGGAGCGAATGACGAGTGATATCTGGTGTGGAACTTGAGACGAATTGCTCGGCTTGCATGCCAAGATTCGTCTTGTACCATTGGGTGGAGCGGGGTATGGAGGCGACAGTCAAGACGAGGTGGTCGAGAGATTTGATATGTGCTGCTGGTGTAGAAGACATCTTTCGAATGTGTTGAAGATTGGTATGGTTGATTAGTTTCAAAATGCTTCTTGTGAACGTCGACATAGTGAAATACCGTAGTGTTTAGTTGTCATCTCATGAATAGAGACAAGTAGCTGAATGATTCACTGAATCCCATCCGCCCCTCCTTGTGTCATATCGCACCAATCAACACCCGAGGCACCCCGCGACGGAGATTGCCGTCAGCTTTTTGTGAATCTCCAAAAAAAGTTTCATGTAAATAACGTCGATAATACTCGAGTAATATGCGATAAATTCTATAATGGCTTGTGTATAGGCACATACATCATATAGCCTAGTTCCATTATTACGATTACGAAGATCACGAAGACGAACAAGTTTGTTCCTCTTACGACAGACGATTGTAATCCAGCATGTCGAACTTGATCAATCGCGTGGGTAATTCCTCACAAGCGCAGTTTACAGCCACTGCGCTTGTCTCTGGTGCGGTAGTGGCAGGTGCAATTTTTAGTTACCAGGCCCTGAGAAGGCAGGAGAAAGTGGAAGATCTCAAGAGCTCGATACCTAGTTTGGGACGAGATCATCATGCTGATTTGGTATGTTCTAGATCTGCCACCTGGCAATCGAGTGAGATTGTACTCGAGTGTTTATACTGACGAGAGAAGTGAAGCTTACGGATATGGGGATTGCGCCCAAGGGTACGGGCATGAGTAAAGAAGATGAGAGGGGTGCTGCATTGGCGGAGAGAGCGAGGAAGGGCGATTACGATGATGGTACTTTTGATTCTTTTACAAGAAATTATGAGCATGACTAATTTGTGCAGAACTCATTTTAGAACAATTGGCCCGAAATCGAGTCTTTTTAAAAGATGACGGATTACAAAAGTTACGCTCAGCATTTGTGGTTGTGGTTGGTTGTGGAGGTGTTGGATCGCATTGCACGGCAGCTCTTGCGCGCTCAGGAGTATCGCATATACGTCTTATCGATTTCGACCAAGTTACTCTCTCATCTCTCAACAGACACGCTGTCGCGACGCTCGCAGATGTTGGCACACCAAAAGTGGGATGTTTGAAGAACCGTTTACAACAAATTGCCCCATGGGTAAACTTCGATTTAAGAAACGAACTTTTCCACGCCAAAGCAGCGGACTCCCTCCTTGAAGAATGGGATGGTAGAAAGCCGGACTATATTGTAGATGCCATTGATAACATCGATAGTAAGGTGGAATTGCTGGAATATTGTTATAAAAACAATCTACCAGTGATTTCATCTATGGGCGCAGGATGCAAATCAGACCCTACCAGAGTCTTCGTTGGAGATATATCTGCTAGTACCGATGATCCACTCTCTCGCTCCACTCGAAGAAGACTCCGCTTACTAGGAATTACGTCTGGTATCAATGTGGTATATTCAACAGAAAAGCCTGGACCAGGAAAGGCGCAACTATTACCTTTACCGGAAGATGAATTCAAGAAAGGCTCAGTTGGCGATCTTGGCGTATTACCTGATTTCCGCGTACGAATATTGCCAGTTTTAGGCACTATGCCCGCTGTCTTCGGATATGTAGTCGCCAATCATTTGATCCTTCAAATCACAGGTTATCCGTGCGAATACGTTCCAGCCAAAGGTCGGGACAAGATGTATGACGGAATACTCGCTCAACTGCAAGGGTTTGAAGAAAAGCTAGCACGTGCTACCACTGAACATGAAGATGCACAGGGATTGAAGGTCCCATTAACATCTGCCGATGTGGGATACATAGTCGAGGAAGTTTACAAGGGAAAATCGGCATTGAGTGGGGTATCAACAAGATTGTCGTTGACGAGGTGGAGGAAACCTGAAGAAGGAAGTACTCTGGATTCGAGTGTTGAGGGACAGAAAGTAAGCAAAGTTAGGGCGAGAGACTTGGTGTGTATGACAAGGGAGGAGGCAACAAAACACGAGAAGCTTGTATTCAAGGAAGGAAAGAAAGTAGAAGATGTGTATGATAGTACCACGATAGAAAAAGTAGAGGCAAGGATCAGAGAGGAGATTGGGTATGAAAAGTATAGGTGAGAACGAAATAGAATATCAATATACTATACCCAAGAAAATAAATGGTTATAGAAGATGTATAGAAATTGACATTGAAGATGGCCAATATTAAGTCAACTACCCCACTTTCCGACCACCCCCTGTTTCCGACCACCTAAAAAATTCATATTATCTACACTTAAAACTTTAATAACTCAATAACTATTGAACTTCAATGAAATCGCCTGTAGAATCACTTTCTATAGCACTAGAGCTATCATCTACCTCATCTTCACGATCTCCAGCTTCAATTTGTGTACGCCTTATAGCTCTAATCCCTGCGAACTTCGAATTTGGAGATACCACAACCTTTCGCCTTTTTCTAGGTAATGCTTCATCTAATTGATATTCTAGCTTTCTAATCTTATTCTCTGCCTCTAAGGGTTCATAATCCTTAGCATCGAATCCTTTTATAATCTTGCGAAATAGTAATCTTCGTGTTGGCAAATCGATCTCCTTCTCTTGAATCATTATATCTCTATATTTTCTGATATCGGCTCCTTTTTGAGGGGTTTTCCATTGAATAAACGATGAATATATATTCCATTGAAGAATAGGATCATCATCAGATTCAGGATTAAGTGATAAAACCTCTCTATTGCTATTTTCAAGCAAAAGTCGACTCATAAGAGGTTTAGCCATATTTTTGGGCCAAAGACCACTAGCTTGCCACCCAGACTTGATATTTTGAATAGTTAAACCTTCTATTCTAGCCTTCTGATAGCAAGAAAGGAAATTGCGCTTTCCAATTGGTGAGGAATCGGATAATAGACTTAATTTATTAAGTTCGATTCGATATGCACTTTTTAGGGGTGAGAACACAGATAAATCGAGTGGTTGTAGTACGTGTGACGTATGTGGTGGGAGAAATAAGAGATATATGTTGTTATTAAAGCATTCTAACATAAATGCTGTAGTTTCATGGCTTCCGTGTCCGTCCAAAATGAGGAGTCTTGAATTTTCCGGCTGAATAGGGGTAGTTTGAGGGATATAGATCTTTTTCAGCCATTCTAAAGCTGTAGCATCTGTAGTCCATCCATTTTCTGTAGCGGTAAAGTTCCAACCCTTGAATAGAGTCAAATCTGTTGGAAACCATTGTTGTTGAACTGATTTTCCCTTATATATTACAAGGGGAGTAATGCTTTTTCCATTGGCTGAAATGCATTCTATAAAAGAGGTCCAAATTCGAGATCCAGGTTGCTTTTTTTGAATAAATCTTCGATCAGTGCTTCCTACTACTAGTCCATTAAGACCCTGACCCTCCATTATACCTGCTTCATCCATATTCCATCTGTTGGCCGGCTTAATAGCCTTGATTTCAGGGATTGCGAGGTTCCGGAACCACTTCTTAATAATATCAGATGTAGCACCTGAAACTCGTGCAGAATCGATTTGATGTTGCTTCTTAGTTCCAATATTAGGATGCCTTCGAAAAAAGCTATGTATCCATTTCTTTCCAAGTGAGGGATCCTCCCCTCGTACAATAAGGAGGTGCTCTGCCATCTCTCTGATTTGACGATGTGTAGGGCTAGTACCAAGAGCTTCCTGTACTAATATCCATTCTGCTAGTCGATTCTCCTGAATTGGAGATAACTTTTGAAGTATTTGGGCGCCGTTTTGATGCGAAACTCCACCATATATTCGATCGTGAAGTGTGGTACGTGGAACACCATAATCCAAGCTAGCTCTTCGTATGCTTGCTCCATTTGTAATCGCTCTAAGAGCCTCTGCGATATCTTCTTCGGTATATCTATTCTTCATATCACAATTATAATAATATCAAAATTTCAAATCAATTGATTAAAGCATTGTTGAGTTATTCAAAGTATAAATTTTATAATTACTCAAAGCGGTGTGGTTTTTGAGGTGGTCGAAAAGAGGGGGTGGTCGGAAAGTGGGGTAGTTGACTTAAATGTTTCTGGAAAGGCCCGACACAACGCTGGTATTATACTGGCACTTTCTTGCCCCATCCCTCCAATTAACACCACGGTATATCCTTGACTTGCATTCTTTGCTACTCTGTTGGAACCTGCATGCTACCAAGGCTCTCATAGAAAGCCATAAAATACCCGTATCTCAGTAATCGTATGTGATATCTGCGATACGGAGATGAGGGTTCAATGAGGGTGGATATGATAGCATGCCACCAGTTCATTGTCTTCACGTGGATCGTTCCCGTATCGTCGAAAGGTCACTAGATTCTAACTCGCTCTCAATTGTTTATCTCTCAGTGATGACTAGGTATATGAAATTTGCAACTTTTCTGTTGGAAAGAGCAAAACCGTTTATTCAATAACGGGGTGGCTTCACTAAGATAGTTTTTAAAACGAAATAGTTAACAAAATCAAAGTGAATGAATAATTGAATGAGATATACGCTTCCAACATGATGATTGATTGCTAAATTCGAAGACTTGTTGTTCTAATCATCCAGTAGTTGCTGGCGTCAAATCTCAAGCATAAGCTATTATCATTGTCGCACTTGGAGTTTGATAATAGGCAATGATGACAACTGAGGAGAAATCCCAATGAATATCAGTTCTTGAACCCAATCTTGCCCTGATTGGAAGTAGTATGCATTACCAAGATATGTTCAAACGCAAGGGAGAAGCGTTCACATATGCTTAAATATGACAAGAACCTACATCAAACAGAGACAATCTCATGCTCAACAGCACAAATTCTTACTGATCTGACGAAATAAATTGACATTAAATCCCAACCTATCCCGCGCCATCTCCAACACGTACAATATGACACGAGAATATCTGATACAAATAACAACGCAGAGGAAGAAAAAGGATTGATCCTCTAAGACGACAGCTCGATGATCCAAGTAGTTCTGAAACGTATGTCCCATCGATCATTACTATATTCGTCGTTTTTGGGTTGCATGCTGACATTTGAGACGGAGAACCCAGGGTATAGAGGAGGGATATCAAATGTCCTTCTATTAAGGTATGATAGTATGTCATGAATACTGGCTCGATATGAGATTTGCTGGTGGGGGAAAACTATTACACCAGCTTGATCATGAAGATGGTTCGGCAGTTGTATAAATCTATATTTCAGGCCACCGAATCCATGAACTACATCATCATTGCTGCGAGGAGAACGTACACATCCGTTTCCTTCTTCAATCCAAAAACAAACAAACAAAATCACAAAGCCAAAAGTAAACATACTCATAAATCGTGAAATTTACCAGAGCCTTCCGAACTAGATGGCAAAGAAAACCAGCATCATATTTATACCCAATACCAAATCTCCCATTCATAAAAGCGGAATATCCTCAGCCCTAAATACGATCTCCTACATTAATCTCACCCCCGTCGCACAAATCTCCTCAGTGTCACAACTCAGGTCCGTCCCTGGCACCGCGTTTGAATACAGCATACAAGCCCTAGCCGGAATGTGAATATGCCGTGTTCTGTACCTTTGCATATCCAGTGCATGAAAAGTGTAATTTGGCGGGATGTAAATGTCATATGATTTTTGGATTTGGGAAAGGGAATGCGTTTCTTGTGTTGTCAGGTGTATCCCTTAGCAGTGTTATGCTTATCATAAAAATTGACTAGCTACTTAAGTATTGAATTTACTAAAAAGACGCTTAGAATAGTATAATAATGCACTCATTAGCATTTTCATCCCAGATGCTTTTCCGTAAAATTGATTATGGTAAGGTTTTAACAAACCCCAAATATTTGTTAATCGTCTCATCAATCTTCTAACAAAACAACAAACAGATCCCTAGTACAATAAACACACCATGAACCTACAACCCCTACTCATCTAATCCTTAAAACAAACTCTACTCTATACATGCTACATACCCAAGTACAACACAACAACAACAATAACACAACACACCAATCCCCTTACCAAAACACAAAAACTCGCACAGATCTCACCCCCAATCACCAGATACCCAACGAGTAATTTAACCATAAACCATATCAGTGGGCCCTGGAGTACGATAGCTCGCCGAACAAATCTCCACATGGCGTGCTAGTCGGTTATACAGGGGAACTTTTACGGGTACCTGCTTGCACACCGGGATGAAAATTTGAGAAGAAACCTTGATTAAAGGTGGTGCTCTGCTTTAAGGTTCTTTTTCTCCTCGTGATTGTGGAGTTGCTGGGGATATTAATGTGTTTGTTTGCAACTTTTGTGAGTGGAGTGTGAGTGATTTGAGAAGGAGCTAAGGAATGAGAAGTGGAAGATGTGATCATGTGAAGGGGGGGTTTTCATGCGAAGGGAAATTGGGTGGGATAGTTGGTATTTTTCACAATGATGTGAACTGTTTTGATTTTCAGAGGGGATTAATTCCGTTTGTTTGTTTGCTATCACTGAAAAACATGCAAAGATAGAATATGGTAAACCAAATATTAATTTTCTCCCAATCTATAACACGAATAGTCGTGAAAAGTAGTCTATAGCTGTTCTCGTTCATATACGTTTATCGTACGGAATAAAATCTCAACGACGCATTTACTTTCGGAAAACGTAGTCTCCAAGTAGATGTAACCAAACAAGTCAAAACCAAAATACAAATTCCAAAAGTAGTCCTCCGATCCCTATCCTGCGATATTCATCATTACACCATCGATCCTGTGATCATCCTTCTTCTCTCCACTCATCCCCTGGTGTACTCAAATCTCTTACAAGAAAAGAGCAGCGGCACCAGCCAAAAGTCCCATCATTGGGACACCGGTGGCAGCAGCTCCGTTACCAGATGCACGGGCAGTGGAGCTGGAGCTGGAGGAGGATGCGCCGGAGGAGGTTTGGCTAGCAGCGGAGGCAGAAGTAACCAGGCCAGTTCCAGTGGAGGTGGTGGTACCGGTAACAGTGGTGGATGAACCGGTAGAGGTGAAGGTAGAAGTACCGGTGGAGGTGGTAGAAGAAGCGGAAGCGGATCCTGAGCTCGAAGTTAGAGAGCTGGTTCCAGAGGTAGAGGCAGTCGAACTGCTCGAGGTTGCAATTGAGGAGGAGGTGGAGGTGGAGGAGGTAGATGAGGTAGATGAGGTAGAGGGAGCGGAAGAAGAAGTAGAGGACGCACCAGTGTAACCTGCAAGTGTGCTGCTTGCACTGGAAGCTACTCCATTGACGGTGAATTGTTGGGATTGAGCCAAGATTTGCTCTGCCTTTCCTGGGCTAACGAAGTTGATTTGGTAGTTGCCACCGGTTGGCAATTGGAGACCGGAAACACTCTCAGATCCCTTGTTGATATCGACATTGGTGAAGAGAACATCGCTGAGAGGTGGGTTGGATGCCATGTGGACGAGGTAGATATCGACGGTTTGGGGATCAGTAGAGACTGAAGTCCAGGTGATAGTTTGAGCTCCATCGCTGAGATCCCATTCTCCGTTGGTAGATGGGGAGGTGATGTTGATAGCTTGAGCAATTGCGACGAGCGCAGTGAAAGCGAGAGCGTAACGAGCCATTGTAAAGGTATTGTGTTTTGTTTTGGGAGAATTAAAAATTGGTAATAGTAGTTGAGCGAGTGTTGATTAGATAGTCACGAACGAAGGACAAGATGTGTAGGAACAATTAAGATGTAACAGAAAAACGAATGTGTCTGTTTTTTGAAGAAGCTGAGGCAGATGATGGGATTAAGAATGAAAGAGGACTGAGTGAAGTAGATGTAGTAAAATGTACGAAAATCAGATACTTGTCTAGGATAATGTAGGATTAAGGCGGGAAACTATTAAAAGTACTTCGGGATTGGAACACGAGATTTTGAACTTCGCCCACTTGGGCAATATTCATGAGTTTCTAACATATATCCTTGTCATCCTAGTACTCTTGGCAGGTACCGTGTAACTAAGCCTTCATCTTTTTCTTGTTTGTATTTGAGTAGCTTTTGCTTTTTTCTTGTCTTTTTCTCAAAATGACCTAGCAGCAAATGGCAAATCCAACCATCTCGTTAACCGTTCCTATGAGAAGAGGCGTGCTTCTCTCGTATTGATTTCTGACATGCCAAGTACCCGATTCAGGGGGAAGAAGATTTCCGTATTGGGCGGAAAAGTACATAGATGTACTAAAATGAGTTGGATACTATACGGCACGTAAATAAAGCTATCCCTATACAACATCAGCAGAATATTGACAGTTCTCTTCTCAGTCCCTTCAGTCTCCTAGTCCCCTAGTCCTCTCCGTACGAGAGTTTTTTCTCCCTCTGGGATGTGTTGATTGCCAAGCTCCCCAAGAAGCTTTTACGAAGTGGATGGAATTAATTTCATTTGGAGTCCGTCGTATCAGATGATTTCCTGAGAAAGCTTGCAAGCTTGCGGGAAAACACATGCGGTATCCTGCTTACCAATCACAATGTGATTGGAGCATGGAGATTGAAAATTGATCGTTATCATTCTTACCGCAGGGGTCAAATGTTCGAAGAACCACTTATAAACCCTACCATCCGTATTCAAATTTCCATTTCCCGTCAACACCGAGCATTGAAAAAGTTCTGGATAAGTGTCATAAGCATAATTTCAATGCTTAATTAGTGTGGGTGGGTGATGATCAGTGCCCTCCCTGATTCCTTGAACTCTTATTAACAAATTAGCAATCAAGCTCGGTCAAGTGTTAAGTGGTAGTGGCCGAAAGGGATCGGCATTTTGCATCCAAATTTCTTGCTAAGAGGTGTGCTAAACTTTGAAAAGGATGAGCAAAGTTGTTCTAAGAAGTCAAAGCAAGGGTGATAAGGGTGATAACTATCTAGTGATAACTGTTTAATCTACTCACCAGTCTCACCTGAACCATTTTTGGATCTGCTCGCTTGACGCCTTTGGCTTTGAATGGTTGAAGAAGAAATCCGCAATTACGATATCCAGTCATTTTTTGTATTGTGGCACACCGATTTGTTGGATGCCTGTATCGTATTGCATATTGTTTCAATGTCTATTTACTTCACCCGCTGCTAATGAGTCGAAAAACTTCAAGAGGTTCCACAGAACGACAGGCTGAGAGTTGACAGCTAATCATTTGTTTTACCAGTAGTTGCTGTCAAGTTTGCATTTGGTTACATGAGGCTCTGATTTACGGTGCCGGTGAAGATTGATAGTATCTCGAGCTTATCTACGAAACCCTAGATAGATAGCCATAAGGCCAGAGAACTGCGACCTTTCATACCTGGCTCAGCCATGCAGCCAGCCCACATCATGAATCGTATAGAAGACTGTACTTGCTACATGATCCATTTTTAAACCTCGTATCGGTTTTCGACTCATTCCAAAGCACATTTTGAACGTTTCCTACCTGCCATTATCGCCGTTTCCAGAATCGAAATGCATCACATCAATTCACATTGTTCTCATACCATCCATTTCCCCAACGCTAACAAAACACATGACCCACAGATAGGCAGCACAACACCCAAGTCATCCAACCAACCCATTGTCTTTCTCGTATTGCTTTTTCCCCAGCTACTTTATTGAATCTTTAAATCTATCCCGACATTACATCCAGTAGTCGAGCATTCTTAAGTCTCCCAAAGAGACCCTCGACCCTTAACATAGCCTGTATCGTATTCTTCTAGAAGTTTGGAATAGCATAAGATGCTAACACATTCTCTCCGTAAACTCTATTTCGTCATTCTCTCCCCTTAACCTAAGTCCTTCCATCTCGTATTCTACACCCATACAATCACTTTGCAGCACATCGCGGAGATATCTTCAAGCCATCTATTCTGACTCTTTTCAATCCATCTCAACTTCATTCACTCTCATCAATAACCACAACTATCAAGACTGACCGATACTGACCGATACCTGTCCGAAGTTCAAATATAGATAATTCCCCAATCCCACCCTGCTCAACAACCTCGCAACGGGAAGAAATCACAGATCTTCAACTCTAGGATCGAAAGCATATGTACTACCAGATTCACCGCCCTCACGACTTCTAGTCATCCACAACCATCTACCAAAATTTCCTCTTTAGATTTCCTCTCGATTTCCTTTTTAATTTTCCTCTCTAGATCTCCTCACCGCAAGAACACACACCATAACTGCTACTCGACAAAAGATATACAGATTGACACTCAAAATGTGAAAGATACACACATCATTATCGCCAAACTCAGCCCACAATCACAACGATAATTCTCGATATCACCACCACCTCTTTATTCTCTTCTCCCATCTCCCATCCCCCCCTTTCCACTTCCTTCCACTCTCTAACCATCATCCAATATCATTCATCCCCATTCCTCCTCATCGCTTACCCAAATCTCTACAATCCTTACAACCCCTCTCCATCCCATCCCATCCCTCTACTAAAACCACAACTGCATTCCCAAAAAATCTCTCCCACCTCCATACCCTCTTCACCCCCCATCTCCTCTTCACCACCAATAACAACAAGAATCTCTCCTACTATTACATACTCACTCTATGCTTCACTCTACATTTTCTAATTCTGTTCTCAATTCGCTATCAAGCACCGATGTAATATCTATAGATAGATAGCTATAAATTATAATCACAGGCTACAAGTGTACCAGTAGAATAAACGCGGTAGGTATCTGAGGGTTGGGAAGGGGGGGGGGTTATTTATTTTCCTATCTACTTTTACTTTATTCGATTGGATGTTTACACTCGACTAGGTGGGTGTATCGAATAGTTGATGTAGTGTTAGCTAGGTAGGTAGGTAGGTAGAGATAGATAGATAGATTGGATTGGATTGAGTGGGAATTTGTTATTGCTATTTACTATGTAGATGGATATATATGGAGCTTGGGAGCTTGGGATTGATGAACTTGTTGAAGTTTAGATGTTATGTTTGATGGTTCGGATTCTCGATGCTGGATGCTGGATGCTAGATGACAGATTCCAGACTTTAGACTACTAAATCTATTAGCATATCGTTATATTATGCTTTAAATACTTGGCTATTAGTATGAGTATGAGTATAAATAATCATTAAAATAGCAAAATGTAAAATGTAAAATGTAAGATTTAATTTGCACTACCGTGTTACAGGATAGAATATCCAACTAAAGAATATCGTATCCCCATGGGGTCATCTCGAACTTTTGCTACCCATATCCTTCTTATCCTATCATGAACTACCTAGGTATCCATTCATATTCCGTCCCTAAATGTACGTATCCGACCATACCAATACACCATTAAGATATACAATACAATATACAATAAAATATTCTTACAATCTTCTCCTGCTCACCCGCTACCAACCTCAAGAAAAACAAATGAAATAACTCTCCTCCCCTAAACCAAATCACTAGCATCAAACCTCTGCCCCCGACTCGTCATCGGCGTCAGAACCTCCACAATCGTCTCCCCAACCACACTTCTTCCCCTTCCTCTCCCTCTCCACTCCTCTTCCCCCACACTCCCACTCCTTCCTCTCCCCTCCCTCGAACTCTCCCTACTACTCGCCGTACTCACACTCGAGTAACTTTCCTGTCTATCGTGTTCTGACCCCGCGATCGCATTCGCATTACTAAACGGACTTTCTCTCGGACGATCGAAATCCACCGCGCGTCCTTGCACACTCCCGCTGCGATTTCTCACCGCGGGCCCAGAGGATAGCGTTGGATCGTAGTGCATCTGGTCTCTCTCGCGCGAAATTCGATGTTCCTGTGTTTGGAGCGAAGCTTTGCGAGACATGCGGAGAGAATCGTGGGTGCGGGATATTTGACCATGGGTGTAGGCGGCGGAAGGAGTGCGGGAGTTGGATTTGTAAGCGGGACGGCCGCGGACGTTTACAGAGCCGGAACGGGAGAGAGAGGGGTCGTCGAGGATGGATGTGCGGGTAGTGAGGATGGAGTTGGCGACGCTGGGTTCGCGGTAGTGGGTGTAGAAGTCGGATTGGGGTTCAGATTCGGAAGGCTGGGTGGGTTGATAGGAGCGGGGTTTGGAGTTGGATTCTTGTTCAAGGAGGGTGGTGGGTTGGTAGGAGATTTTGTAGGGAGAGGGGATGGCGGGGACGGGTAATTCGGGAGAGGAGGATGAGAAACGATCACTGCTGGAAGATTCTTCTTCGGAGGATGTAGATCGTGGTCGTCCGGACAATCGGGAAGGGAATCCAAAGACGTGGGTTGGAGCTGGTGCTGTGGGGATCTTGGGAATCTTGGCTTGGTTCTGAGGCGATGGTTCGGCACTGCCGTATATAGATCCTGCTTGGGATCTAACGCTCGCGTGCTGACCTGCTAGAAACATAAAGTTGCGTGGAACCTCTCCTTGGTAATGTAGTTGGGATACCTCCTCTTCAGATCGAGTTCTGCTAGGGGGAGACTCAGAAGCTGAGGTTCTACCGAATTGAACTGCAATCGAGTCCGATTGTGGCTGGACCTCCTTGATTGGTGATGGTGGTATGTATGAGCCTCCAACATTAGGCAAAGCAGAGCGTCTGATTTCCGCCTCAGAAGGCTGTAAGCGGAGAGGCGATGGCTTATGCTTGATCGATTTGGGAGCGGAGACCTCGCTGGAACGTCTCGATAAACTAATTTCACTGCTGCTAGCAGCCGATGGACCTCTCATAGCCTCAAGTGCTCTGGAAGTCTCTGTCAAGTCGACCGCAGTTGTTGAGGGTGAACCGAACATTGATTGGGCGGGAGAGTTGCTTCGAGATTGTGAAACACCTCCGAAGAAACCTCTTTCGATTGCTCGAACACCAAAGAGATCACCTTCCCCAAGCTCCTCTACATTGAGTCTCTCTTGCGTGCTGTTTGCCTTCTCAAGTTCCTCGATTTGGATATTTCTTGCGAGCCTAGGGATATATTTAGCAAAAGTAAATTCAACAATTTGAAGCTTTTATCTTACTTTCTTTTGTTGAGCCATACTTTTATCAGGCCAGCGGATAATACGATGAAGATTGCACCACCAAGAACAATGCTATAGAAGATCTATCAGATATATGTATGGATGAATGCTCTTTGTCAAGAGACTTACCCAAACTTGGCAGACAAATCTTGGTTTCCAAACCACCCCATTATGAATAATATTGAATAGCTTTGGTAATTATGAAAGCCAAACAATGCTCATTAAGTGACTCGAAGTTTAACATGCAATATGGGAGTCTGGTGATATGAAAAGGCTGAAGAAATCCGGATTCTCTTTTAAAGCCCCACAGGTCGACAACTAATGAATGTAAGAAGAAGAAAAAGTACAAGATGAGAAAGCAATCGCGATGAGCACAGCTTTTATCGGATATGCAAGTAGTAAAAGCCAACAGACTTGCACGAAAACTTAGTAGGGGTCTGAAAGGTCGATCTGGGGCCTTGGTAGAGAAATCGAAATCTATGAAGCGCGGACCGTGCTCATACCTGACAGTCAGTTTTTGATGTTTTGCGTTTCAGATGGACGGTTTATTAGATAGATCATGGATAGCCCAGAAGATGCAAGTGGATCAAATGTGTCGTTCCAAGAATTTGGAATGGTAGAGATTTTTGAGGTGGTGTTGAATGTTTTGTGAATGACGAATGTATGGAAGGATTGCTGAAGCTCCCCACGATGAGTGAAAGGTAGTTCCCCAAATATCGTTCCCCTCGAACTTTACTGATAGAGGCTGTAGCCACAACTTGAGGCCGACCGATGTAGAGAGTAGGGCCGTTTGATAATTATTCACCAGGAATGTGAAAGAGAGAAAAGATATTTGATATAAAAGAGTGGATATTTCCCATGAAGGAATGGTTCAGGGACAGAGTGACGAGTAGAGAAAAAGAAATATTCCAAAAGTAAATTTGAGATAGAGAGAAGATCAACAGAGCTATTACAACCCTTTTAAAAAGAATACACAGCATCGACTAGATACCGTGCCATTCAATCCTTGAAGCATGTTGAAGGTTGATGGAAATACCCAGCATTAGTAGGGGCGTCTTCCAAGACTAGTCAATGGTCACCCACACTTCACGATGAATGTATAGATTTAGACACAATCATTGGATTGTCGTCTCACATGGCGAAGCATGTATGTTCCACAAGTCCATACTGTGTTCGGATTGCTCGTCTGGCCATGTTGTGGGGGAAAGCAACGCTGTGACTGAACGACGTCGGAATGTTTGTCCAAGTTGTAGAGATCGCCACTTGATTCACTGGAGATGGAAGAAGTGCCCTGACGCTATATTTGACCAAGCGCGGGTGTAGATGTTACTAGATGAAATCTTTGGTTGCTCTTTGACCTTTTGAATGCTGGCAGTTTCGAATCATTGTTAAAATTCTTACTTTCGAACGGCGGTAGAACGGCGGTTATCCCCTTTAGTGTGTCGCACCAGCCATATCTGCATGACCCTTGTGGAGATCCAATTTTGGTGTAAGAGAGCAACCACCAATCAATTCTCTTTCTTCCCTCAGGGCGCTTTCATGACCATCAAACATGTTTTTTTTTGAGGATGTCTTGTAGTAGGTAGTGGTTAGCTATTCGATATCGTTGATTTGATTTGTGGCGGCGATTTTGCACACACCAGAACGCCATTCACGAATCAGTTGGGATGAAATAGGAGAGGTTGATCAATGACTATGTCGTAATTTTTGAGGGTGTAAGAGCTAATCAAGGGACTCGATCAGATTCACGAGGAGAGATCACAGTGGACATCACAGTGGATCTTGAATTTCGTGGCTTCAAGTTCAGTTGGCTGGCACGGCTGGGTGGCTATACTCCGTCTCAAGTCCGTCTCGAACTCTCGACGAGTCCGTACTCTGTATAGTAATCGAAAAATGAAGGGTTTCCACGGAAGAGTCGAACAAACGGTATATCATATACCGTACCATACATCCCCTCCTCCGGAAGCCAAATACCTATTAGCCTGCTACTCAATAGTCAAGACCACAATGGATCATAGCTTAAGTTTACCAGTTGGCTGGATACACAGTATCTAGGACCTAGGTATTATCTATCTGGAATGGAGAGTACCCAGTCCTTGGAAGAAGAAGTTTGATATATCCACTGGTGATCCCCTCCGCGGAACACGATAGACAGAGCTGAGACCTCATACATACTTTAATTACCCCCCATGTTCCCGCTCTTTGACGATTCATGTAGATAATAAAGTACATAGGTACCCTTACCGATACATTTCAATGACATTTTCATGATGTTTAATGCCATCCCATCCCCAAGCAATTGAAATGAGCTGTGTCTTTACTTTGGTCGTGTTGTGTGCACAGATGTGTAACCTTACCAATTTCGGGTCCGAAGTGCCAAAAGTATAACCCAAATTCATAATATTAGACGATTTGACGATTTGACGATTTGACAAATAATCTTCTATCCTTGCAGCCAGCAGGACAAGCCTCTGTACTAGCATCTTCTCGGTCTATAAGAAAGAGAAAGCAGAGCCTTTCCTAAAGACCTTTCGACCTGTTGAACTGCCAACAACTATGGCCTGACCTTTGCCATGGTCTCTAAGGCCGAAAGTTATCTTCGCCAAAGTCCACGCCACAACCCTTTGCAGGGCCAGGACAGTACACGGTACAGTATCAACAAACAGGAAAACATATAATTTTCATTTTTTGATCCCTCCATCCCTCCATCCCTCCATCCCTCAGATGCTGTCATTTTGCGTTGATTCAATCTCCCCATTTATTCTTTATCAACAGAGCTACCTCGTATTGTTTTTCATAAGCCACATGGGATTATCAATGCTGCTTGGGTTGTATCCTTTGGATTGGAAGAGTCTTCATACACCTGAGCACCAGGTCACAAACGTTCCTTTGCGTACAACTTCGTACGTAAATTGGATGGTACCATCCCAACCATACCAGTCACTGTCTCAGTGGACAGTGATCCTTCATCGATGTTTATTCGATCCTTCAACGTGAGATTGATGATGAAATTGATGAAGTTGGTTGTGGTCATGATTTACCACCCTTGCTCTCTTTGAAAGTTTTTATCGTTGAGCTCTAAGTGAAAGCACAACCATGGATCTATATATTACGGGAGACGGTTCATATACTCAAGTACTGTGTGCGTCTCTAGAACAATCAGCATTTTTTCCATCCTGTTTTCATCGTCTTTGCCTAAATTGGCGCCAGTGGTAGTCTTCTACGGGTGCCCATCGAATGAACGGAGACTTGGAGAGTGCCAGAGTCCTAAGGGAGAAGTCTCGAGATTATGTAAGATTCATTCAAGATCTTTTGTAATCCATCTACAATATCCTACCGTGTGCCGACATTAAAATCGCTGGCAGAAATGAAGTAACAGAGGAAGCACTCATGAGGCTCAATTTGTAAAATTTCAAGTCTGCTTCCTATGACCGAAAAATTTCACAATGCAGACAGTGTTCAAAAGTTGGACATAGGCAAAAACCGTACACCGTAATTAGCTTTAACTTCGAGACCGGTCGCTACAGATTACTAGTATTGAACTTTTCCAGTAGCTCTAAATTACTAGTATTTAATTTTCACACAAACCAAATTGTGAAAATTTTTCTCTTCCCATTCAACCCAAACCCAAACCCTCATCTCCATTTCCCAAAACATTTTCTTCAATATACTCTCTCATCTCCAGTCCATAGATATTATCCATCTTGAGCGACTCTCCGTTCTCGACACTCAAATCTCATCTATTTCAATCAACACAGCTATTGCTCATTCCCCATTTCCTAGATCTCATCTATTTCCAAAAGTCTGCGAGACGTATTTGCAGCAATGAGTGAGGATCGACCACTTCGCGTAAGAAGCGCCTCTCCGAGAGTGCGCCTACTTGGGAATCATTCGCGTCGTGCGAAGAGCCCAAGTGTGGATCCTACTGTAGAGGCATACAGGCGTGATGTCGAACGTACTATAAGACGAGATCCAACCTCATTACCCGTTCCCAGTGTAACCCCTAGAGGAAGAAGCCCGGAACGCGCGACCACCACCGAGACACAGCGACACTCAACGGACAACGACGTCTATCAGGAACAATACAACATATTGTGCGAGAGGTTGAGGGCTCCGGAACCAACTCTCCTGGATACCACCTGCCTTCTAAGACAAGCAGAACATCGTCTCAAGACTGCCGATTACATGATACAATATGGCGCTGAAGGATATACCCAGAGTGAAGACGAAGCCTTTGCTCGCGAATATCCTGCCCACCTTTTCCGTAATTTGATGGATGCAATGAAGCTTCGTGAATACCTTGAACTGGAAGCCTTTAATGAAAGACTCCATTTGGCTGTGCTTCAATATGACCACCTTAAGCATGTTCAACAGTCTCGTGACAGAGCTAATTCTCTCGAAATTCATTGCAAACTTCTTCAAAACAGCCTTACTGATGCAAAGTCTGTGGAGACGTTGCGTTATGAGATAGCGCTATTAAGAGCTACAGCTGATCATGCCGAGTCTGACTTTAATCTGGGAGACCAACATCAAGAAAAACTGCTTGCAATTCGTCAGAAAACACTGAATGATTATTTCCGGTATGAAATTAGTACAGAAGCCTTACTTCGAGGTATGTGTTTTGAATTTGATGAGAGAGCCAGATATCGAAGGGCTCGGGACGATAGTCGTCGTCAATGGGACGCACAGCTCCAGGCTCTATATAAGAACCACATGGAATGCTATCGCCAGCTTTCACTTGGTGATGCAAGAGTAGCAAATGCCGCATCTGGCAATACTAGTCGTGAGAACAGAGTTGGTGAACGAGGAGAAATGCCGCATGTATCTCTTGAAGGGCCCGGAAACCCCAAGCCTGTACGTGGTAGACAAGCTGTACCCTCCGGAGGCGCCGCATATCGTCCTCAAAGTCATCAGCAGTCTCATGAAGCACAAACTACAGCGATGCCATCTCACCCACACCAGACGAATCGAGGGCGGCGACAGCAACGAAAGATGCAACAGGCTACACGTAAAGCTGCTCAAGCAGCGAATCGCATTGATAATGCTATGAGAAACGAGAAGAATGGTGACAGCTTCGGTATCCAAGTATAATCTATAGTAAATGCTAACATCAATAGGCTCACAAGTCAGTATGCAAGGCGAGCACACACATCGTGGCCATAAGCAGACAAGAGCAATCAACAACACCAACGGTCGGCTTGGGAAACCTGACGAATCTACAAGACATCGAGAAGCTCAACTCCGAACTCCACTTTCTGCTCCTCCTACACAAGTTTCTCCGCCTCGTAAAATGGGATTTGAGCGAAACCACAAGACAAACGAACATGGTACAGATTCTTCACAACCAATGTCCCCGTATGATATCTCGAGCGCAACCATCGAGCAAGCACAACGCGAAGGGGAAGATAGTCAGCACAATGGTGGTGCCGGGTCAGAGTTAGGGGCAGAAGGATCTGCTACAGAAAGCAGTAATTCTACAACGGACTCAACAGTCGCAATGGGTAGTAGTGTTGTGTCTAAAACCGCATTAGATCTTGCAGGTAGTAATGATTCCGCCCAGAGATCAACAGCCGGAATGCGTGGCGGCGAGGACAACAATCCCTCCAATGAGCGTGCTAGATCCGCGGGGTCCTCTCACACCTCTTACGGCTCAGATTCCACACTTGTATCTCGTTCCTCAAAGTCCTACCCCAAATTTCCACAACACTCGCCCAACAAAACTTCGGCTTCGGGTTCCACTCCAACCCCGCAGCCCTCCGCACCAGGTAACCTCGGAGCCCCAAGACGTCCCACGCGACCCTCTCTTTCTCCGTTCCAAGGTCCACGCGGCTCCACAAACCCATCAACATCCACCGGCCTCGGCTTTTCGGGATCCGAATTCGAGCAAGCCATCCGCTCAAACATAACCAGGAACATGAATCTCAACCGCCGCGCGCCTGCCTTCGCCTCCCCTCCCATTCAATCTCAAGTTCCCTGCGATCCCAGCCTGCTCCACGACCCCACTCCCTACATCCCCCGACAACCCGCGCCCGTCACTCCTATCACCGCGAACACGTACCCAGACCCCACCTGGAACACGGCCAATTCGCGCATCTGGATCTATCAAAACCTCGTCACTCACTGCGGGTTCACGCAGTTGGGCGCTCACCACGTCGTCATGAGATGGATGGGTGGAGGCATGGCTCTCCGTCACATGAGCTTGTTCGATTGGCAGACTCTTACCTGCTCCCATCACGCTGGACTGCATATTTTCAGGCGCCTGAATTGAGGATTAAGAGCTGTGCTGTGGGGTTTGTATTCGTGATCAGTGCTGAGGTATTTCGATACTTGTGGATTGGCTTCCCCTTCCCTGGTCAATCAAACTGATATCTAGGATTTCAACGCAGCAAGTTCTGGGGTATGGCATCGAAGTACAGGTAGTAGACAGTAGGTCCCTAGTGAACTACAAAGCGAAGGTTGGAAACCATCCGACTTGAACAACACGGTGCGGCACAAAGTGAGATGCGGAGAGACACGATATGATGTGATTTTATAATCATCAATCTTCCTTTTCTGTATATTTGCATTAGGCACATTAGACGAATTATCGCCATAATAGTAATAGTAATAGTAATAGTAATCATAATAATAATAATAGCGACGTATTATCCGCTGATAACCAGCTAGTCTTCATCCCATTCTTCATGTCTTACATATGATTTAGACACACGTCTCGTGAATATGAATACCCTTCTACCTACTTAGATCGTCTGATCTCCATCTCCATCTCCATCTTTGAATACCCAATCCAAGTTTTTCCAAGTTCTTTCAATAAATTCCAATTACATTTAACAATGCACCTACCCAAGTATTTCAATACTGCGTCTGATATATTACAATCCAACCAAGCACCTCCCAATATATCTTCCCGTATCATTACTTGCCCCCATTTCTCATATCACTCTATATCACCCCATAGCATACCACGCCATCTCTTCTCACCATCTCTCCTCACCATCTCTCCTCACCATCTCTCCTCACAATCCACATCCACATCCACATCCACATCTAAGCCCAACCCAACCTTCTCCAAACCTTCTTCTCTCTTCCAGCTTTCCAATAACGATATAATATGATACCTAGTAACAATACTCTCATCCATCTCATCCCATCCCGATAGATTTCCACACCTCCATAAACTTTCCTACAAGTACATTCACATCAGACCCCCCAAAAAACTTACTGCTTTAACCACCACCAATCGCGTATGAGACAACAAGTATCGAATGTCTACATTTCCATTAGACGAAGAATTGCACATCCAGATTTTCTTCACAAGGGACTACTTTAAACCTATCACATCGAAACAAACAACAGATTCACAAGTGTTCTTTTTGTTGGACAGAGTTGAAGCTTTGCTAAAATATTTATATTTATAGATGCATATCGAACCATCCCTATGGACGTAGATCCTGACTCCTTACAATGTCTGCCATAACTCCCACATGCGATACGTTACCATGCTTTCTATGCCAGGTATGTATAAAGACCGCCGTCTTCTCGCTCGATATAATCCTTTTCAATTAATTCTTCAAAAACTGTTAGCCCATGTATCCTCTGGTTGAAATTTTCGGCAATATACAGGAAAACTTACTCTCGATGTGTTTCTTGATTTCCACCGGCTCCACAGCACCCCTCCCTTTAGTTTGATTAATAACCTCCGCCACCAAATTTTGATGCGTCATCGTCTTTCTAGACTTCATGATTCTAACAATCGCAGCTTGAGTTTCAAAACTTCTATCTTGAATAACTCTCTCATGCGTTTCTTTGTTTTCCTCCTTCGTCTCTTTCAATTGAATTTGATTGATCTTGATTCTATATTTTGGATCTGAGAAATTGAGATTGATAGTAAAAGTGTCAGTATCATTAATATCTCTGCCTTTAGGATATTTCGCCAAGGGCCGAATTTTGGCGCATGCAAGTGACTGGAGGGTTCGTTTTAGCTCAACATCGACGAGACCTGTTGCTTTAGAAATATCCTTGTAGGAAAGGTGACCGCCATCTTCAAGATCATTGAAAAGAACAAGTACTATAGCTTGGAAACCACTAACAAGGAGTTCCTTAACACTTTTCTTGAACGTTGCTTTGACAACGCTGTGTGCTAAAGAATGTTTCCAAGTTAATCGGCGCCCACTGTGTTTGTGCTTGTAATGCCGGTCGTATTTTTCGATATGTCTCGCAACTTCAGCAGGAAGATTGACTTCGATATCCGGATAAGTTGGCCAAGCAGCAGACGAGAGGACACTAACTTGTAGATCCAGTGTTGTCTTGCTTGTATTGCTTAGAGACTGCTTATATGAGATCATTTCATCCCGAGAGATATCTTGATCTTTAAACATCTGTTCGAGGTTATGGGTGAAGCTGTTACCACATTCACCTCTTAACTTAGCAAGCATATTCCTCTCAGCATCTTGACTTGCACTGCGTGCCATCAACAAGCGACGTGCCAGATCTTTCTTGTAAAAAGCTTCAAATACGTCTTTCCCTTCAATGAAGCGGAACAGCTCAAGACCTTGTTCTAGTTGACGGTCCAATTCTGCATCCTCATCACCGGTACTGGCTTGTCCATTATTTTCAGCCTCATTGCGATCTGTGGCATCAGATACCAGAGAACGAGGTACAGCCTTAAGTCCCCCACGCAGTAAACCATCCATGTATTTCGCAATCATTTCCCCAACTTTAGAGGTATCTGTACCCCATGCCTTGGCAACTTGGCGGTCATTTATGAATTGTCCAAATGCATCCCGAAGACAGAAAGTAAACGTCCCATCTTTGTTGAAGGCATTGCGGATGACAGTATCCAATGAACGTTTCAGTTCGAGCAGACGAACCACCATCTCATCGCCCCTTTCTTTGTCCATTGCGATAGATGATCCAACTGATTTTATATAATGGGCAAAAGGCTTTTTGAGCTGTGCCTGGATATCCGAAAGTCTCAATAGTTGGTATAAAGATTTCAGTGATGCCATTTCTTTGTCGTCCAAGAGCTTAGATACAGCCACTGTTTCCAGGAGGACATCGGCGCGTTTGTGGACCAAAATATCGTGAGCGGTGTCAAGTAACGTTTTTTTGGTAGTGCTGTCAAAGTTGTATGTATCGCAACGGAGACTCTCTCGTCGTAACAAGTCGTCACAAGAGGAGATATATTCTCTTAGTGGCGAAGAGCTCCGTTCTGATGCAAAATTCTCGAGGTAGGCTGAAGAAAGCTCTTGGAATCGTTCCTCAAAAAGGCTTGTGTATATACCAAGTATGTGAATTGTGGCGATGGAAGCACGGAGGAGGGCTGAATCAAACAGATCTGAAGACTTCCTATCGTACTCTACCAGTTCACATATCCCCAGTATAGCTTGTGCTCCTGTTTTGCTGATCTCCTTTCCTTTCAAGTACACGATTTGACGGAACTGTCGTATACCCATATCTTCTAGTTGCGGAAGTGTCTTCGAGTTCAGCAGATATGATCTGTCAAGATAGCTGAATATGGATCTCAATAAAATCTGACCTCGTTGTCAGTATTTTTCTCTAGATTGGCATGAGTCTATTTGCAGGCCTACCAATTGGGTTCTCCATATCCCCCATACACTCTCAACAGCCCGCAGAGTTTCTACCGAGCTGGAATCTCCTTTGCGTAGAATAGCTGGTAAGAGTCCATCCTTGATATGTGTGTGACAATGTAGTTCTAGATGTCTGTAAAGTTGATCCGCCTTATCTTTTCCACGCCGACAAATCGATTCGACTCCACGGCATCTGTAATATTGAAGGGTCAGTGATTATCCACTGGGAAAGATGAAATGCAATGTAATGTAACATTGAGCAAGACTACCAGAGAAGGTGAGGGATGGAAGCAGTGGTATTGGGGGAAAAGATAGAACATATAAATAGAGTTGACAATTGAGGAGCAATATAAAAGAGTCAATGAAGCTTACAGAACTTCCAATGGTGTTACTGGCTGCTTGTTGCTAAATACTGATATCAGAGCACCATCTAACTCGTCCCAGGTCTTCTTGAAATACTGTTCCCCATCATTCGGAGAGCTTATCCTGAGATTCTTAATCACCAATCTCTTCGCTCCAGTATGCGGTTGAAAATTTGATGGCCTCGTCAAATCTATCACCCCTGGACGCGAGAATCCCATTGTCTTGTTCATGTTGGATCGTAAACCTTGACTTGTTGATGATGAAAACGATCTTAGCTTTTTCGAAGAATGGTAATCGACCTTAGATGTACCGGAGGGCGTGTTCGGTGGGTTTGGATTTGGACCTTGAGGATCGCGATGTTTTCTTTTGACGGATGAAATGGAAGATGTCGAGGAGAGATCAACTGCCCGATCGTGTGAAGGCCACATCGAAGTGAAGTAGACACAAATGATATAATTTTGCCTTCCGTTCTCTTGTGAGGTGAGGGGTCGATCTTAGTGGCCGCAAAGCTCGGGGAGCTCCTTGGATTGGAGATTAAATGCTGTAACTACTGCTGCAGCTCTTTCTACGTGTCAGATCACAACATCAATGCTGATGGTACATTAATGACGGATTTACCTTTTCTGTTTTCCCCTTTTACCTTGATAGTCCCGTGGATGTTACATGAGGGGAAATAGCAATAGGAATAGGAATGTTGCACCGAATGCTGGATATGCTAGGAAGGAAGCCGCGAATTGTGAATGGGTAAGGTTAGGTATGTGTAGCAGATTGTTACTGATAGGCGATAACGGCGATAAGAGCTTCACTGTGTTCCGAGGTTTCTCAATTGACGGATGATAACAAGACTTTTATTTAAATAATGGTAATCCTTGGTTTAAAGCAATACAAATTAGTAAAATGTACAGCTTATTAGTATAAAACAATGGAAAGTACCTAGTGTGTACATAGGTATCTAGTATGTAAATGCTGAAGGCTCAATAGAAAAGGTGGTCGAGAGGTTCGAATGCTTTGCTTTAGTCATATTACAATTACCTAGGGGGTAGTTCATTATGGAGGTCACATCAGCCACAAATCCTACTGCTAGAAGAGAAAGATGGCACGAGCGATATATCATGGTGATATTGGATTTCGGATTGATAGACACGAGAAATTTGATAATCATAGGATTTAATCAATTCATGGTATTTGGCATTCTAAACTCTATACATGAGCACCAAGTCATCTTTCCTTTCTGATTAGGTATTATCATGATCAGCTCCTCTATCATCGCCCGCATCTCCTTGATACACAAAATATCCAATCCAAGCTCATTTTC